AAATAAAACAAAATTTTACTATAGAATCTAGGTGGTGAGTGTATGCATGTTATTTCCATGTCTCACACAATAAAATATTTGGGGCCAGGGGATAGACAGCCTGGTGAGGACTCTGTAAAACTGCAGTGTTTCCAACAGGAATCTCTTCAGATTTACTCACAATGTCACACATGTTGATTTTTTCAGGTGAAGCAAGAAATCTCAATTTTAAATCAAGTAATTTTTTTACTGTTGGCAATAAATTCAATTTTTTATACTTTTTGGCCCAAGGAAATTTTCAATGCCGTAATCCTTTTTCAAAGTTTTTACTGTTCATGGTTTTAAATGGTTCTACATCAGGGTTTTCAACGTGAGCACCACTGACATTATGGGCAAGACAATTCTTGTGGGGGGCTGTCCTGTGCATTGTAGGATGTTTACGCCAGTAGAACCACACCCCCAGTTTTGACAACCAATAATGTCTCCAGACATTGTCAAATGTCCAATGGAAAGCAAAACTACCACTGCTTCCATTTGATAACCACTGCTTTAAATGTGTACTGAAGTATCTGTAAAGTCAATTAAAAATATGTATTTGAAATGAAACCAAAGATTTCTTTACTTCATGCCTCAAAATAGCTTTTACTTAGTAGTTACTATATGTCAGCCACTCATTATTATATATGTGTATATAGATACAGATATATATATATGCATATATATATATATATATATATGAAAGAGAACGCATTCTCTTTCATTATCCTCATCAACAGTCCTATGAAGCAGGTTTTGTTACTATCCCCACTTCACAAATGTGGAAATAGGCCTAGAGAGGTTGAAATATTGGGTTGTCGGAAAAGTCATGACGTATTTTTTTTTCGTTGCAAAAATGCGTCATGACTTTTCTGACAACCCAATAACTTGCCCAAGATCCCACTGCAAATGCTGATTTGGATTTATACAGAATTCACAATCACTACCAATACAACATAAATCTCCCCTTCCAGCTGATGTCCCTGCATCACTCTTTATAAAAAGTAAAACTACAGATTAACTTTCTGAAAATACAAAAATTAAAATAAAAATAACAAGAAACTAAGTGATTACCCCAAGATAGACTGCTTAAACTAGGGTCTAATGATTTCCACTGGACCTTTTCCAAAGCCTCTTTCCAAAGCACATGATCTTTTCTCTCACTGTTTACTAGTGGTTAAAATTCCCTACTGTAAGAGTACAAGAAATTCCACTGATGCACAATGGAATTGTGCCTTGAGTCAATAGAAAGTTGACTGAACCTGCAGCACACTCATACTGTGAAATACAATATGGTCATGAAAAAAGCATCTAATGACACGAAAAGATGTCACAGATATATTATATGAAAACTCAACTCACATTATACTGTGCATAGTATGGTTTGATTTTTATGGGAAAAAAATATACAAAGGTTAACAGTGATCATGTTTAGAAAGTGTATTAGGGAGCCGGCCGAGTGGCGCGATGGTTAAGAACTGGCTTGGGACACCAGAGGGCCCCGGTTCAGATCCCACATCTGAGGGCCAGTGACACTGCCCTCCACAGCTAAGATGCTGAACAACAGCTCAACCTGGAGCTGGGCTGCCGTGNGGATCCCACATATGAGGGCCAGTGACACTGCCCTCTACAGCTAAGATGCTGAACAACAGCTCGACCTGGAGCTGGGCTGCCGTGGGTCATGGGCGATGGTGTAGGCTGCAGTCCCCTGCTGCAGTGGGCTGCCATAAGCTACCATATGTAGCCGGCAGCCAGCGTGAGCGGCCAGCAGCCGCCGTGAGTGGCCGTCCAGAGGCCGGCATCTGCCTCTCCCGGGAAGAGCACAATGATGGTGCCAGCTTGGGCCAGTGAAGCAACATCCTCCACAACTAGACTAAAGAACAAAACCATAGCAACTTTTCTGTCCCCCTTCCCCCGATTCCCCAGCGCTGTTCCCCTCACCCAATTCCCCAATAAAAAATCTTTAAAAAAAATAAAGATTGGTGTTATTTCTTCTTTAGGTAAGAATTCACCTGAGAATGAATCAGCCTGTAGTTTTCGTTGTGGAGTGCCTTGTAATCTCAGTCTTCTTCAATCTTCTTCAATAGACATCCTACTCAGATTTTCTATTTTTATTTGGGATGGATTTGATAAGTTGTTTTTCAAGTGATTTGTGTATTACATCAAATTTGTCAAACTCTTTGACCAAAGTTGTTCATGTTGTGTGTTTTTTTTAAGTTGCAGAAAAGGAGTTTTTAGGGGGAAAAAATACATTTAAAAGAAGCAGACGTGGCCCGAACAGTACAGAATGTCTCAAGGGCCATTAGAAGAGAAAGTACACTCCAAAGAGTTTGGAGTGGGCCCCTGAGGAGAGGCAAGGCTCAAAATGCTCAAAAGGCCCATGTTTTTGTTTTTAATGTCCATAGACTCTGCAGTGGTTCTTGATATTGGCTATTTTTCTGTTTTCTAATCCCTTGATCAGTTTTGCTAGAGGTTTACAATTTTATCCATTTGTAAACAGATGACTTATAAAAGTGTTTTTAACACCCATATAAGTGAGGTGTTAGACCTATTTGCCAGGTTATAGGTTTCCCTTGCTTTATTTATTTGTAGAAGCAAACTGGATTAATTGCTCTTCACTCTAAATGTGATATCCAGGACATTAATTCATAATCATCTATTCTCCATGTTTAAAATCACTGCTGCCTTAGAAAATAAATCAGATATAAGTTTTTGAAAATCTTTTCTAGTCCTCAGTATTACAGCATTATCTCCCCAAACTAACTTACTTTCTCAGAAACTGACATGGGTACGTGGCTCAGATTTTTCTTTCAGCTCTAAATTCTCACATTCCCAATAACATCCTAACATGATCACATTATATAATTCAACAGTATAGAGGACTATTCCATATCTAAGCTTTTATACATCACATTTGCTTTGTCTACAACCTCTTTCCCTATAACCTGCCACTGATGACTGCAGCTACCTATCTTATGTTGTGCTAAGGAGTTGTAGTTTTTAACTTGAAGCAATGGGGGAACTTCAAAGCTTAGAAACAGAAAAGTGATATGACCAGTAAAATGATACAACACTATTCTTTCTCCCGAACTTGACTGAGCTCTTTACTTCAATCATTGTTCACTTTTACAGACTATGTAGCAAATTGTACCTTTTACCTATAAAGTGGTTATTAGTACTCTTACTGGCTTACAGCACGGAGCAGGGGAGATCACAGGAAGAAAACAGCAATGTAAGACAGCAATTTTGAAAATGTGAGGTTTATGAAAAAAATTTCACTTGTCCTCTGTGAGAATACCAGAAAGTTGCCATTTCTTTCTTTAAAAAAAAAAAATTGGGGAATTGGTGGAGGGGAAATAGTGTTGGAGAATTGGGAAGTTGTTCTTCGATCTTAGTTGTGGAAGGCACCATTTGCCATCTGGCTGCCCGTCGGCAGCTCGTGGCCTCTAAGCTCAAGGTGCCAAGTTCAGTCTTAGTTGCGGGTGGGCATAGCCACCATCCCATGTGGGAGTCAAACCGGCAGCCTTGTTGTTAAAGAGCGCATGCTCTATCCACTGAGCCAAACAGGCGGCAGCTCAGCTCAAGGTGCTGAGTTCAGTCTTAGTTGCGGGTGGGCATAGCCCACCATCAAAAAGGCAGTCTTGTTATGAGCACGTCACCAGCTGAGCCATCCTGCCATCTGTTGGCAGCTCAGCTTGGGCAGTGTCACTGGCCCATGTGGGAATTGAACCGGTGGCCCTGTTGCTCATCCCGCTCTTAAGCTAACTCAACCAACTGAGCCACTCAGCCAGCCCAAGTTGCCATTTCTTGAGGACTGTCATTTTGAATTGCCCTTCCTAAATTTTGGTATTACGTTAGTGGAAGGAGATAATTCTTTCTAATGCCTTTTCTCAGTGAACTTAAAAGAATGTTCTGGAAACAAATCCTGGGTATATAGTCCAGCTCACTGATAACCAGACCTGCAGCAAGGGGAGTGGGGGATGAGAAACAGGACTTGCAATTCATTCTGTGTTCTTCCTTCTTTACAGTGAACACATTCTAATTTTAAAGTGGGAAGAAAGAGCTAGATAAGGAAAAAAACAAAACTAAGTTATTCGAGTGCCTAGAGATATTTACTTTTATTATTTTCTGAATTTAGTTGATTTTTCCTTCAACATTTCATTATGAAGTTTTATACATGCCAAAAAGTTGAAGGACATTTACAGTGAACACAGATAAACATAGCCCCTACATCTTTTGAATTTTTCACAATTAAGTCATTACTACCTGAAGGGTTTATGGTACCTTATAGGTGTACAGTATGTTGAAGAAATGAACGAATTTTAAGGTGAGGATCTAATTTTGTTTTCTCAATGGATAAATTTACCAAATTATCCTAAGTAGCCTCTGGTTTATTTCATTAGTTTGCTCAATCTATCTAATCATATAACAAATCTGTCAATTAACTGGTAAGCTTTAATGAAATAATGGGCACATTAACCATTTGCAAAGGAACTTCAGAACCTGTTATATTCTCTAGAGTACCTTCTTAGGTCTCTGAGAGTAAACTGGATTTTTGCAAACTCCCCAGGGGCTTATTCAGATCCAAGTCTGAAAGGGTGAAATGACTGCTGTCAAAACCCAAAATGGTTATAAATTAATGAGAATGATTTCCCTGGGTGTTCCAAAAATAGTTTTCTGCACAGGCCTCACTGTTAGCCAACACGTACTCCTAGTGTCAGCCCCACCAAGAAGAATGTACCCTATTTTGCTCTAGTCATTGCTCAGATGCCATTTTGTTTCGTAGGAAAAACCTTGAGACAAGCCCAAGTATATGTAAGAATTTAATATCTGATAAACTGGTATCAGAAACAAGAAACAAAGGGAGAATTACTTAGTGCTATTGACCATCTGAAAAAAGATCCTTAATTTTCATTAGGGTATTTCTCAAATTTCAAGCATGTAGCTCCTTCAGAGGAAAAAAAAAATGCCACAATACCTAAAGGTTAACTTAATATATTTTTATTTTCACATTTCTTATATTTGAACCAACATAAAAATAGGTATACACTTTATGCTTATAATTCTCACATAACAATAAAAGCTAAAACATTTACAAATTAAAACAAAACCAATAAAATGCAAACTAGCCTCCTTAAAAATTTAATAAATGATGCTGTTTTGCTCAAATAATACAGTGATGTTCTGCCCAAATGAAATACATCACAAATATTTGGTTTAATAGCAAAAAGCTGCTGTTTCACATCCCATTTTGTTCTTAAACTGTTTCTGAATGTTTTTACTTTAGTAATAATGATGAGGATACTTCTTCACCTAAGTATCTCATTCAAAGTGGTTTAGATAAATTTAAGCCTTTTTCTCTTCCTCTTTTCAAGGTAATCAGACCAGAAAATTAAGCAAACCTGTCAAATGCCAATTTCAAAAGGTATGAATTGACAGACTGAAAAAATTAACAATCGCCTCTATTGAAACCTGCATTAACCACTATGGACTCTAACTAGCTTTAGAATTTGGAACGGAAATACTCTTTATGATTTTTCTGTGATTATACTAATTGCCAGTGAACTGTTGAGAGTTACTCTGTATAGGACCCTCACACACAAATGGTACTGTCAAGATACAGATCCCCGATGAAACATAGGACTCGGCCAGGTGTATCACATGTACAACAGCACACCACCACTTTTCTCATTCTCCCGTAATCTGTGTTGTGCTGCTTCAACAGTTTTGTTTGTTTTCAAGTCAGATTTTAATTTTGAATACTTAACACTATTATTGATGTGCATTTCACTTTCTTCGTGTTTGCTAAGAATATGTGATAAATGCTGCCAATCTTTGCATCCATTCTCGTTCCGCAGTTGATTTTTTCCTTCTCCAAAGAGTTTGCAATATAGACAAAACACAGAATCTTTTGAGGTCGAATAAAGTAACCAGGATCTAGTGGTTTTTTCACCATTTGGTAGAACTCGTGTGTAATAGGTTTCTGAAAACTTCCTCCCTGTATTGTCTTTTGGAAAGTTAAAATTTCTTACTTGAGGTGGATCATTTTCGACAAGAAGGTCCCGTTGTTTAAAATTCAAAATTCGGGGCCATGTACCTGGATCTGCAGAAAGCACAACTGGTCTAGTGGAGTCTTCTGACTTCTTCTCTTCCAGGTTCCCTTGAAAAGTATTAGCTATGGTGGACACAGAAGGTCCATTCACATCCTGTTCCATCAGTGATGAATCTGTGCTACATTCTGCTGAAACCTGTAGCTCTGAAGTCTTTTCCTTTTTTCCTGGTATTCCCTCTATTTTTTCCAAAAGTGTATTCAACAATCTTTCATTTTCTTTTCTAAAAGCATTCCTTTTTCTGTTTTCTGATGCTGGTAATTTTTTTGATTTTGTTTCCAGTATCTGGGGAGAAAAAGATTACAGTTTTATCTTAGAATTGTTAACACTAAAGAAAATGAATGTATGGGGCTGGCCGAGTGGCGCGTTGGTTAAGAGCTGGCTTGGGACAACAGAGGGCCCCAGTTCGGATCCCACATATGAGGGCCAGTGACACTGCCCTCNCTTGGGCCAGTGAAGCAACGTCCTCCACAACTAGACTGAAGACAGCAACTTGTCTGTTCCCCTTCCCCCAATTCCCCAGCACTGTTCTCATCCCCCCAATTCCCCAATAAAAATCTTAAAAAAAAAAAGTTTTGTTATACTTTGCATATTTAAGTCTATGATCAATCTCAAATACATACCAAGGGTGTCAAAAAAGTGTATACAAGAGGACACGTTGGTCAATGTTGCTTAATCAGTAGTTTGCCGTAATCAAAAGTGTCTGGATGCTGATAGTCACACCTTTGAGAACCTCTTGTATTTCCAGAAGTAAAAGGTGACTTGTATTCATCTTTTGTTATCGGTATATATTATTACAATTTTAAGAGTTTTCCTTTCTTAAAATGTGTATACATTTTTTGGCACCCTCTGTATTTGTGTATGGTGTGAGACAGGGGTGAAGGTTCACTTTTTGGTATGGATATCTAGTTTACCTAGCACCATTTATTGACAAGACCATCCTTCTTCCCTGAATTGCAGTGATGCCTTTGCTATAAACTAGGTGATTATATATGAGTAATTTGTTTCTGGGCGCTCTACTCTACTACATGGCTCTATTTGCCTATCCTTACAACTATATCAGACTTACCTGTAATTTTATAATACAATTTTTATGGGGAAGGGTAGGGTAGATCCTCCAAATTTATTGTTTTAAGAATATTTTGGCTGTTATTCTAAGACTTTGTATTTCCTGTAAACTTTAGAATCAGTTTACCAATTTCCCATAAACACTAAAAAAATAAGATGAGTTTTTGACTGGGACTGTGTTGAATCTAGATCAGTATCAGAACTGACATCCTTATGTCAATATCAAGTCTTCCAATCTATTGTAGAATGGTCATTCAGGTTTTCTTTAATGTTTTACAGGCTACTGTGTGGAGATAGTACATCTCTTTTACTACATTATTCCTATGTATTTGATTTTTTTTAACTATGGCCTCTAATTCTTTTTATTTTTTTATTGGGGAATTGGGGGAGGGAACAGTGTTGGGGAATTGGGAAAGGGGAACAGGCAAGTTGCTGTCTTTTTGTTCTTCAGTCTAGTTGTGGAGGACGTCGCCTCACTGGCCCATGTTGGTACCATCATTGCGCTCTTCCCGGGTGAGGCAGGTTGGTCGCCGGCCATTGGACTGCGGCTCACGGCAGCTCATGTCAGCCCAACTCTAGGTCGAGCTGTTGTTCACCATCTTAGCTGTAGAGGGCGCAGCGTCACTGGCCCACGTGGGATCCGAACCTGCAGCCCTGCTACTCAGAGCTTGCACTCCCAAGCCAACTCTTAACCAACAAGCCACTCGGCCAACCCTGTATTTGATTTTTTTTATGCTATTGTAAATAGCATTTTACTTCATTTTCTAATTGTTTATTGCTAATATATAATACAATTCTTTTTCTAAATATATTGACCTTGCAGCTAACTTTCCCATTAAATTCCCTTATTAATTCTAATAGTTTGCCAAATATTTAGTTTTTCTAAAACATATAGACATGTCATATGTCAAATGCAAATTAGTTTATTCTTCCTTTCCAATTGTTATACCTTTTATTTATATTGCCTTATTAAACTGAATAGAGCCTAAAGCAATGTTGAATAGAAATGGTAATAGTAAACATCTTTGTCTTGTTCCTTAACTCAGGGAGAAAATTGTTATTTCCCTATTATGTATGATCTTAATTATGGGTTTTTTGTAGGTTCCCTTTTTCCTAATAGTTTCCTTCTATTCTTACTTTGCTGAGGTTTTATTATGAACAGTTGTTGAGTTTTATCAAAAGTTTTTAATATCAGAGTTTGCTTTTCTCCTTTTACTCTGTAAATGTGGTAAATGTCAATTGATTCCAAGTATTAAATCAGGCTTTTATTCGTGAAATAACCTTAGTTATGATGTATCACCCCTTTTATTACTGGAATCTATTGCTTATATTTTGGTTAGGAATTTAGTATGTTCATGAGAGAAAATAACTTATAATTGTTCTTTCTTGTGTTATTCTTTTCAGGTTTTGTTGTCAGGATATTTCTGGCCTTATAGAAAGTTGAGGAGGGCCCTTTTCTTTTTATTCTCTGGGACTATAAGATTGGTGTTATTTCAGGCCGGCCGAGTGTGGCATTGGTTAAGAACTGGCTTGGGATGCCAGAGGGCCCCGGTTTGGATCCCACATATGAGGGCCAGTGACACTGCCCTCTACAGCTAAGATGCTGAA